ATATATTATCTGTTTGAACCTTCATTCTCGACAAAATTAGTTTTGTGTGAATGGTTATCTATAATTGTAATTATTTTCTTCTGTTGTCAAAATTTACAAGGAGTAATTCATTATGTATGCAGGCACGAGATTGTTAGTTTTGTGGTACGAGGAACAAGGAATGCCGTTTCGCATACGAACCTGTATAAATCATTGGCCAGACGGTATGTGCCAGTCGGGGCCGGTGTTGTTTCAAATTAGAAGAAGAAGAGGAAGGAGTGGTGGACGAAGAGGAGGCATGAGGAAGGAAGAAGAGGAGGAGGAAGGAGGAAGAGAAAGAAAGAAGAGGAGGCAGTGGAGGAAGGGGAAGAAGAAGCGTACCAGTTGGCGGCATATGACGGGCGGCTACGGCAGCTGCATGAGCCGAAATGGGAAGGGCTCACAAATGCATGTTTTTTATTATTTTGTTTTCACAAGGTTCAGACTGGACAGCCTGAGATGGGTTGTCCGTGTACTGTTGAGGAATGTGGCATATCATTGGTGTCATATCGGACTGGGTGAAATGTCAAACCATGATGAGGAATGTGGCATGGAATGTACTGTTCCATGCCAGTTGACACGCCTGCTGTGATGGTTGGCAGTGCAGAAGTTTAGTCTGGCCATGTGGCAGGATAACTACTGCATTTTGGCTTAGCACAACACATGCTAGTTGGTGTTGGCCAGCATAATAATTATTATCAAGATTTTTATTCTCTTTTTTTTTTTTTTCACATCTAAGCAGTGTCACTATTTGTTATTTTTGCACCAAATAATTTACAACTTCTGACTACATTATGTCGACACAGCAAATTGTTTCATACTTTCATTGATACTTCTTGCTGAGAAATATTATCTTATATAGGCAAAATTTTGAGCAAATTGGTTGTTTGATGATCTGGAGACACATTATGAGTGGTACAAGCTTTGCTGCTATTTGTTGACTGAGAGATAGATGTATGTTTGTCGTGGGTGGGTGGGTTTGGGAGTTGTTGGTTATTCTTTTACTTGTAGCAGTCTCCAATCCAATTCATATAATTTGGTTGCTTAGCTCAGTTCTGTAAAGATCCATATGTACATGTATTGTGTTGGATAGATATGGGTTATCCACACTGCATCGTGGATGTCAAAACACACTGTTCAAAACTCTCGCAGTAGGCAGTGGTAAAAAGACAGCGTTTTCTGTTTTTGTTTGGACGTGTACATCAGACATTTAGGGTATCTGTTTTGAGCAAAATCCAACTTTTTTTTATAATTATGTAGATAGTGAGCGAAACTTGTTTGGAATTTTTCACGTTGGCTGTTTTGGTGGCTGCAAAATTCTCATTTGTTAAGAATCAAGTGCAGTATTCTTTGGTTTGTATGTGCATATTTCTTGTTCCTAATTGTTAATGACTCAATTTCATCCTTTTGCTTGTTCACTGAATTACAAATCAGTTCTGTGTTGTTTTCATTCATTGGTCGCTTCAGTAGTTTCAATTAAACACATAAATCTGACCTGTCAAATGAGTACAGTTTTTAAAGAAGCATGTTTACACGAAGCATATAGAAGACTTGAGGCACCAAAACGCTATGCTCGGTGGCACTTCTCCAAACTAAACCTAACATGATTGAGGTTAACATGCTGTACAGTAAGTCGCTGGCTTATTACACAGAAAGCAGTGGCAACATATAGTTGATGAAACACTGCACTACTTGCGGCCCAGCCTCTGCAGATGCTGCTGGTGCTTTGCTGCGGCTGCCTTATCGGCAGCCTCACGCTTCAGGGCCCTTTTCGCCCGCCTTCCAGTGCTGTCTTTTGCTGCCTCTTTCTTCTTTGGAGTCCGAGATGGGCCAGCATCCTCATCGTCGAAAGACTGCAGATTGACAGGTCGTGCTTCCTTCCTTCCGGTCCTCACATAACCGTTGTCACCCCATCTCCTGTTACCGATACGAATACTTGATCTACTAGCAAAGTAGCTTTCATCTAGATCGTCAAGTTCATCTTCATATTCGTTTTGAAGAAAGTCTTCTAATTCATCAAAACCGTCTTCTTGCACCTCCTCTCGTTGTGCCTGAACTGCCAATGGTACAAACCAACTTGCCCTAAGGAGAAGGCATACACTCTCCTCAAACATGTAGTCTTGGATGCTGCATAAAGAATTGATATTGATTTCATATACTTGAGCACAACAGCTTTTAGGCGACCAGGAAAGATAAAAATGCCTAACCTGCCATCAAGTGAACGGTGAACACTGAGGAACTCAAATGGATGCTTACACTGAGGGCACGATGGTCTTTCACGGTATGTTGCCCACCGCAGGATGCACATCACACTGCCCAAGCAAACAGTAACAAGATTCTTTTAGCAATACATGCATAATCAAAAAATTTTCTCAGGATACATTGGTATACAATATATTGAAGTCTGAGAATCACTTTAAAGTTTCTTTTACATCAAATAGCTCTTTACATGGTCACAACATGTCACGGTAATAATATCTCCACTCCAAAATGATGCCTTTTTAGATTGCACAAAGTGTGCTACAATAGCTTAGTCCATAACAAATACAAGATTCACTATTTAACTTACAGATAATATTTACTAGGGATTCTAGATCCATATTGAGCTGTATCTCAAACTGCTGCGAAGATTTATGTGCAGATCAAATTTAAACTACTACACTGCGTTGAAAAAAAATAGACGAAGAGACAAAAGCAACAATCCCATGCTTTCGATCATGAGTCTCCTTGCCAAAGTCAGCATTTGAACTTTGTCATTTAAAAGAAGAGTAAACAATCACCACTAAACTAACAAACAGACAAGTGAATCTTGTAACTAGTATGTTTCCTGAGTATACTTGCTTTTCCTATGATAGTTTGATGGTAGATCCACAGATAACATTCTCAAGGATCAACCATAATCATACGCATTATTAAGCCTAACCCACCTCTCTAGTTTTTTGGACATCTTTAGGTTTTTGATTTGATCAAAATGACCAACTTGGTGCAGGTTCATTGGAAACATTATAACCTCAAGAAAAAGAAAGCCCATAGATTGAGAACCTGCACCAAGTTGGTCATTTTGATCAAATCAGAAAGGTTCTTTTACCAGCAGGGTTTTTGATCACATAACATTTCTTGGAATCAAGGTCTTTTTCCATACACTGTTCATTGGAAACATTATGCCCTCAAGAAAAAGAAAGAATAGTTCACTAGGAGATATAGATTGCTTTTCTTTCTACTTAGTGACAATTAGCTGATTATCAACCTAAAACATAGGCAGCCTAACCCTACTCAAACTGTTCTCATCGCCCAGAAATGTTATCTTTGACAGCACAAGCACTCATTCTTTTGAGGCACCACGCTCTTACGCAACCTGAGTGATCAAGATTTTGAGTAATGAAGACTGCTTAACATTAGCGAGCAGAGCCTTCCTCCTCTATTTTCTCATTTCAAGAACTCTAATATATTTCCTCATATTCCTGTGTAATTCTTCTTGAAAAATACAAAAAGCAATCTAGTTGTGCAAACTATGATGAAAAATTGTGCTTAATTCTTCTTATATTTTAAGATTTACCATGCCAGAATTAGATCTCTTTCATAACTCTCCTAAAAAATTACTTGTTACTTCTTCCGTACGATTAACCTACCAAATAGATAAAAGCAAGAAACTGAAACCTTCCAAACCAAAAATTGGTAAAACGCAGAAAACCCTAAAAAAGTCATGCACAAACCAGTAGGCGTGCTCGCAGCCCTTTACAAGCGCCATCTCCGGCAGCGCGATCTTCTCCAAGCAAATAGCGCAGAAGCCACATCTCTCGCCCGATCCGCTCGAATCATCCCACCCCTTCCCCTCCTCGACAGCCTACCCGCATAACAAAGCCAAGTCAATCGATCGATCAATCAAACCACCATAAAACAAGGGATCCAGATCCGGCGTTACCTCTCCCCGGGTGCAAGACAAGGGAGCGATCTGGCCCTGCTCCTCCATGGATGCGCGGATCGGTTGGATCCGGGGAGAGAGAAAGAGGAAGGGGGGTGAAGGGAGATCGGGATGTTTCAGATCGCTATGAGCGCTAAAGCCCTTGTCACCAAGCGAAAAGGGAAGAGGAGCGGAGGGAGGGAGAGAGAGGGAGAGATGGATGCGGTCTTCCTCGATCCAAAAGAAGACGCACATCGATATCAATACGAAATTAAGATGCGAGGGTATATTCGTGGAATGTTTATCTTTCTCTTTATTATGCGTGCTTACTTTGATCTGATCAGATCGCTTAGTGTATGCTTATAGCGGTGGGATAATTCGAGTATATAAAGAAACCACGTATGTACACCTACCTGCGTTTTTATTGGATGTCGTATCGGAACAAACATGGGGCCCGCAGATGTTCCCAATAATCGTGAAGGTAGCGGCCCATGAACGAAGTAAAGCTTTTCTCGAGTGGCGGAGGGTTTTATCCGAGGATTATAATATGATGTGCTTTATTTAGCGTGCTCGTTTTGATGTGATCAGATCGAGGACAAAGGTCGTCTCCGGCCTGAGTTCTGATTGGACGAGGAAGTGGAACGTCGGTGGGCCCTACATAGTTCCCCAATGAGGATGGAGGTGGTTGGCTGCGTAAACAGAAAAGGTACGGTGAAGAAATAAAGAGCGGAGAGGCGGTGGTCGTGCCATAATTAATGAAAAAAAAAATATGATATTTTGTTTTTATTAAATATAATTTTAAAATATATATGCTGAATTTTCTTTTTATTTAAAAAAAAAAGTTAATGAGGCTGAGGATGATGTTCAATTAAAACTAGTTAAACGCGATCCGATCCGATCGAATCGAACTGAATGGAGGGATCAGCAATTCGATCCGATCGAATTGATCTTGATTTGGTTTGCGGTCATTTTCTATATTGACATCGATTTCGGTTTGTTTGAACAAGATTAAATAGCTAGTAAATTTACCAATATTTTAGAGGATCAGCAAGTTTAGGTGGTAAAAGAACCTTTTTGATTTGATCAAGATGACCAACTTGGTGCAGGTTCTCAATCTATGGGCTTTCAGGGCATATCTATTGCAAGAATCCACTGCTGTGAAGAGGTCCACATTGGAACTTAGTGTAGTAAAGGCAACAAGCATATCTTGACCAGTTTGCTGATGTTGTCTTCTGTACCTTTGATGGGTTTGCCTGTCCTGTGGATGCTACCAAATGATTCCATTTCCAAATCCTTGCACAGAGTGAGTCACCACAGTCAGATTGGAGGCCGGTGCATCAGCAATATGCTTTTGGCTTCATCTCTTGCAGCAGCATGCAGAATTCATCACACAAAAGCTGCTCTTTCCCAGGGGGTATGGTGATTCAAGAATCAGTAGTTTCAGATCAAGAACCTCAATCTTTAGTTTGAAGCTCGAGGAACTGTTTCTGCCAAGCTAAACATCTGTTTGGTTGGCAATCCAAAGCCCATATCTGTAAGCAAATTCTTACTGTAACAAAGATTGGCTAGTCTGTGGATTCAAAGAAAGACAAGTGCATGGTTGTTCCACAATCTTTTCCTGCTCAAGATGGATTACAGATCATATTGGATCCAGTTACAAGCAATGAATGACCATAAGGTTTCAAAAGTTGGATCTCTCTAGATTCTCTGAGAATATCAAAGTGTTCGATTTTGGTGATATGCCTCACCGTCCGATGATATTTATTGAAAACTCGCTCCTGTTAAAACATTCTGCCATTGATGAATACAAAACCAAACAGCATAGGCCAGGTTGAATCAAGGATGAAATCAGAAGCTTGAGAAGTGTCTCATCATTCGGATCGGAGGTCCAAGGCTACTTCTTTTCCCTGAATCGCGATGGGAGTAGTTCTTTTACTCTGGATGCTCAAAGATGATGTCATTTGTCACCAGAAAGTATTTTAGCAGAAACTAGCAAAAAGTCTCCCCGGCACCATGAAACAAACACCTGATA